GTGTGTGTGTGTGTGTGTGTGTGTGTGTGTGTGTGTGTGTGTGTGTGTGTGTGTGTGTGTGTGTGTGACATAACCACAATATTTTATTTGGACTGATTTTATACACGTGATTCTTCAAAATGAAGCCGATTGTTTATCTTGATCTTTTATTGGTTGATTTTCTTTTGTAAAATTTCGGACCAAATTATGAAACATGGAAATAAACGATTCTCATTAAATAGTATTACAACATTTGTGCTGTGACATCATTCATCACTTGTAATCAATATTCATAATCATGTCAGCAATATGTCAGGAATTAGAAAATAATGTTATGGATATAAAAGCTCAATAATGAGTTTCAATCAGTGTGTGTGTGTGTGAGATTGAGAGAGAGCATGTGTGAGTGAGTGAGTGTGTGTGTGTGTGTGTGTGTGAGAGAGTGTGTGTGAGAGATTGAGAGAGCGTGTGTGAGTGTGAGAGAGATTGAGAGAGAGCGTGTGTGAGTGTGAGAGAGATTGAGAGAGAGCGTGTGTGAGTGTGAGAGAGATTGAGAGAGAGCGTGTGTGAGTGTGAGAGAGATTGAGAGAGAGCGTGTGTGAGTGTGAGAGAGATTGAGAGAGAGCGTGTGTGAGTGTGAGAGAGATTGAGAGAGAGCGTGTGTGAGTGTGAGAGAGATTGAGAGAGAGCGTGTGTGAGTGTGAGAGAGATTGAGAGAGAGCGTGTGTGAGTGTGAGAGAGATTGAGAGAGAGCGTGTGTGAGTGTGAGAGAGATTGAGAGAGAGCGTGTGTGAGTGTGAGAGAGATTGAGAGAGAGCGTGTGTGAGTGTGAGAGAGATTGAGAGAGAGCGTGTGTGAGTGTGAGAGAGATTGAGAGAGAGCGTGTGTGAGTGTGAGAGAGATTGAGAGAGAGCGTGTGTGAGTGTGAGAGAGATTGAGAGAGAGCGTGTGTGAGTGTGAGAGAGATTGAGAGAGAGCGTGTGTGAGTGTGAGAGAGATTGAGAGAGAGCGTGTGTGAGTGTGAGAGAGATTGAGAGAGAGCGTGTGTGAGTGTGAGAGAGATTGAGAGAGAGCGTGTGTGAGTGTGTGAGAGTGAGAGAGAGCGTGTGTGAGTGTGTGTGTGAGTGAGAGAGAGCGTGTGAGTGTGTGAGAGATTGAGAGAGCGTGTGTGAGTGAGATTGAGAGCGTGTGAGAGCGTGTGAGTGTGTGTGTGAGATTGAGAGAGAGCATGTGTGAGTGTGTGTGTGTGTGTGAGAGAGCGTGTGTGTGAGATTGAGAGAGCGTGTGTGAGTGTGTGTGAGATTGAGAGAGCGTGTGTGTGTGAGAGAGATTGAAAGAGAGCGTGTGTGTGATTGAGAGAGCGTGTGTGTGAGTGAGTGAGTGAGAACGTGTGTGTGAGATTGAGAGAGAGCGTGTGTGTGTGTGTGAGATTGAGAGAGAGCGTGTGTGAGTGTGTGAGATTGAGAGAGCGTGTGTGAGTGTGTGTGAGATTGAGAGAGCGTGTGTGTGTGAGAGAGATTGAAAGAGAGCGTGTGTGTGATTGAGAGAGCGTGTGTGTGAGTGAGTGAGTGAGAACGTGTGTGTGAGATTGAGAGAGAGCGTGTGTGTGTGTGTGAGATTGAGAGAGAGCGTGTGTGAGTGTGTGAGATTGAGAGAGTGTGTGAGTGTGTGAGATTGAGAGAGAGCGTGTGTGTGAGATTGAGTGAGAACGTGTGTGTGTGTGTGTGTGTGAGATTGAGAGAGAGCGTGTGAGTGTGAGAGATTGAAAGAGCGTGTGTGTGTGAGTGTGTGTGTGTGTGTGTGAGATTGAGAGAGAGCGTGTGTGTGTGTGTGTGTGTGTGTGTGAGAGAGAGAGAGAGTGACGTCAGTCCGTGTCTGTATAAAGTCTCTCTGAACTGATGGCGAATGATCAGAAACCAGCAGCTCGAGGAACTTCAGCAGTCTTTTCTTATAAACTCTTGTTAATGTTCGTTCTGAAGATGTTCCGCGTGTTTTCGGCTGTTCTGCTGGTGTGTGTGTGTGTGAGCGCGGAGCGGCCGGATTTACCGAGAGACTTCGGAGTGAAACTGTGCGGCCGCGAGTTCATCAGAGCCGTGATCTTCACCTGCGGAGGCTCCCGGTGGAGGAGGAGTGCGCAGGGCCCCGGTACGTGCTCATCTTCATCAGCACCAGAACAACATCTTCATCTTCTTCATCTTCATCAGCACCAGAACAACATCTTCATCTTCTTCATCTTCATCAGCACCAGAACAACATCTTCATCTTCTTCATCTTCATCAGCACCAGAACAACATCTTCATCTTCTTCATCTTCATCAGCACCAGAACAACATCTTCATCTTCTTCATCTTCATCAGCACCAGAACAACATCTTCAGTGTGAGATAGAGAGAGAGCGTGTGTGTGTGTGTGTGTGTGTGTGTGAGAGAGAGAGAGAGCGTGTGTGTGTGAGATTGAGTGTGTGTGAGAGCGTGTGTGTGTGATTGAGAGAGAGCATGTGTGTGTGTGTGTGAGAGCGTATGTGAGTGTGTGTGTGTGTGTGAGAGAGAGAGAGAGTGACGTCAGTCCGTGTCTGTATAAAGTCTCTCTGAACTGATGGCGAATGATCAGAAACCAGCAGCTCGAGGAACTTCAGCAGTCTTTTCTTATAAACTCTTGTTAATGTTCGTTCTGAAGATGTTCCGCGTGTTTTCGGCTGTTCTGCTGGTGTGTGTGTGTGTGAGCGCGGAGCGGCCGGATTTACCGAGAGACTTCGGAGTGAAACTGTGCGGCCGCGAGTTCATCAGAGCCGTGATCTTCACCTGCGGAGGCTCCCGGTGGAGGAGGAGTGCGCAGGGCCCCGGTACGTGCTCATCTTCATCAGCACCAGAACAACATCTTCATCTTCTTCATCTTCATCAGCACCAGAACAACATCTTCATCTTCTTCATCAGCACCAGAACAACATCTTCATCAGATGTATTTACACCATCATCATCCTCATCCTGACAGTTAATCAGCAAAAACCAAAACCGTTCAACAAATATATTTACTTGAAATAAAATAGACGTTAACTGAAAATATTTGTAAAACCGTAAACCCAGAGCAACATGTCTTTGTTTAGTTTAATGATGTACTACAGATTAGAACTTCAAATAAATTTATGAATAGAAACTTTATAGACATATTTAAAAACGGAAAAAATACAAAAACACACAACAGAATTACTAAAACGTTAAAAGTAAAACTAAACACAAAAAATAAACTAATTTAAAGTATTAAAAAACTATAAGTGTCACAATACTTCAATAACACAGCATCCTACAGAACCAGCACAGTATGTACATCATCATCATCAATAATTAGTTTATTTAGAACCATACAATAAATAAATATTTATTTAAACATCTTTGTTACAAGAAAATATCCATTTAGCAACAGAAATAATTTCATTTGTTCGTCGTTCTGTATTTCAGCTGAAAGCGCCAGAATATGAATCCCAGACAATGAGCTCTAATAATAAATCAATGGGATAGACTAATAATAATACATATATGAAAACAATGTCAGGAATTAGGCTACTCGTGTATAGTTGCAGTGTTGAAATATTACTGACTACACATCAACTCAAGCCCCCTTTATCTGTAGCGGGTTACAGCACTGATGCTCGTGTGTGTGAGTGTGTGTGTGTGTGTGTGAGATGAAGAGTCCTCCTCGTGTGTGTCGCAGGTGTGCTGCTGTTTCAGGCCGCGCGGGACACAGATGAAGAGCCGTCTCTCCCGGAGCTGCTTCCGGTGGTGATGAGCGACAGACCGGAAGCGCCCGACCGGCGGAAGCGGAACCTCTCTCTGGGACTGGCGGGAATGTGCTGCAATCAGGGCTGCACCAAAAATGACATCGGCCTCCTGTGCTGATGAGGATGAGGATGATGAAGGACTCACTGATGAAGAACTGAACTGTTAGATCGTCCCAGTGCTTCATTTATTTCACATCTGTTCATATGACCACATGAATAAAGAACTTCTTGATTGCAACTTTCATATTTACTGACTAATAATCTGTTCAGAAGAATCGCCAAACGAATAAAAGCAACAGTGTTGCGAGTGAATGTTTACCAGAACTAAATCAGATCTGATTTAAGTGTTCAACTGCTCAAAGCTTCGAGACATAAACAAACGAGCAGCACACAAATGCGTTCGAACAGGAACAGAGTTCAGAGTTCAGAGTTCAGGGGTCTGCAGCAGACTGCCGTCAGAACACACACCACCCGAGCGCAGCATTGAGCTTCTAGCCTGTTCTGCAGGTCAGACGCTTTTCTTCACACGTTCAGCGAGTTCTGTTTGTGATCGCAGTCCAAGAGAAGCTTCGGGTCAGAGCTCCGGTGTTCCCGGTGTTCCCGGTGTTCCCGGAGGACCGAGAGCCTCACCGACAGCGTTCCGCGGGACTGGAGAAGCTGACAGCAGTTCAACGGCACTGAAAATGAAGTTTACACAGCTTGAAATTAAGTTTCGTAAAAGTTATTTTATTTGTATATGTTCATGTGTGGTGCTTGACTTTGATGGAATAATTACATTTCACAAGCGGATGCGGCGCGAGTGACGTGACACGCTGAAATTAGAATATTCAAATGAGCAAACAGTGGAGAGCAGCGTGAGCTTTCCTGAAGCTCTGGATGTAGGTGGCGTCGCCAAATTACTGCAGTTATGCCGTTTCAAAAGGTAAGACAAGGGTTTTGTTCTGCCGCCGCGCTGGGAATATTACACACCTTTAAACGTTCGGCCGTGGAGCGCTCAGCACGTCACCTGCTTATTATCTGACGCTGAAACACTCATAATATCACAGATGCTCAATGTTTTCAATCACAATGCACACACACACACACACACACTCATATATACACACACACACACACACACACTGACGCTGAAAAATAAAACGCTATTATTTGCAAAAATGGTTTTACTTGGTCTTATAGAAAAAAGTAGACATTGCTTTTGTATCTCTGGAACACCTTTAAAACTCTCAACAGCAGTGTACTGCAGCTCACAAAAATGGTACAAATAACTGCAATAATAATAATAAAAACAATAATTTAGTGCATTCACACTCATTCAGTAAAAGCTGAATAAAGTTTACATGCCGTGCAGGAAACGAGAGAAATCAGTGTTTGAAGATGATGAAACTCCAGCTGCTGTGGTGGAGGAAGGTTTCTTCTTCTTCTCTGTTGTGCTGGAATCTCATGCATCTTAAATCTCTTTATATAAAATCAAACCAGCACACACAAATCCAACTACAGAAATGGCCAGGAATGAGTATGAAGATTATCAGGAGCTGCTGCTGCAGATGATGATGATGATTTGCATATTGCGGTGATAAATCACTCTTCACTGTTTCACTCTTCAGCATCTGCTCACAGCGACACACTGCACATCTCTGATGATCTGAACGTCACACGAATATCTACAGACATCCCACATGAATATGAGACTATAATTACTACTGTACACAAGCCTGCCGTTTAAAGGCACCGCAGGAGATCTCAGTCTAGTGATCGATTGCCCTTAACACTAGTTCATCTGAAGCACTTCTGACCTTTAGAGGAACGTTCTTGAAATAATGACAGAAAAACAACAGAGATGCATATGAACTGATCTGAAAATGAGCTCTTGTATTCTTATATATCTTATTTTTATCTTTGTCATATCTTAACTTTAGTTGTATGACGATATAAAAAACAATGAATAATGAGATTTGTGTCTTTATAATGTCACGCTTTTGTTTGTCTTGGGCCTGGGAAAATAAATCGATGCATCGCGAATCGAGAAAGGATTCTGAGATTTTCCGAAGTCATTGCGATACTCTCTCGAGTCGATTGTGAGCTTAGTTTTTAACAGCAGATGGCGCTGCGTGCTTTAGAAACAGCCGTATTCTGCTTGCTTCCAGTTCCTTACGCACCATTTAAACCTAAAATAATCATTCATAAAGTTCGAAAAGGTTGAAGCGAACTACAAGGATGTTCACAGTGGGTGTGTTTACATTAATCTCGCATCATAAAAGCAGAGGTGCAAGTACTTTTGACCACTTACATTACTCAGCCGAACGCACAAGTGCTCTTCTTCATGAGTGTTTGAGTGTGTGGTTAAAAACTAGCCTAGAGCGCCATCTGCTGTTAAAAACTAAGCTCAGAATCCATTCCAGAGAGAATCACGATGCATCAATTTATTGTCCCAGCCCTACTTTACACTATTCCTGGAGGACGGACACAGTCCAGCTATGGGTCAAACGTGTCGAGACTCTGATGTTGGCGTCAGACGCTCTTGCGGTCCTGAACTCTCTGAGCGAGATCTTTGAAGGTGGGCCGATCGCCCGGCTCTGCCTCCCAGCACTCCTTCATCAGCGCGTGAACCTGTGAGACACACACACACAGACAGGTCACTCTCTGCGCTCTCCGCATGATTTGCTGGCGGTCTCGCGGTCTTCACCTCGGCAGGACAGCCGTCAGGAGCCGGCAGACGGTAGCTGCGCTTCAGCAGATCGATCAGGTGATAAACGATCATCTGGCCCTGCTTGTCCTCCCCCATCTGCTCCATAAACACCTGACACACAAACACCATGCATTACTGTCACGGTTTGACGATTCTTATTATTACTGTAGTCAAAGTTGTGTGTCACTGGGTCTTGTATAGTGCAGAAGCTGTTAATGTGATTGCTGGTGATTTACTGGGACTGTACATCGCTTACGGTTGCTTTCTGGTAACTTGAACACTATGATATGAGAATAAGCAACACAGTGAAGATGCTTGGTCACTTACAGCTGGAGGACTGCAGCTTTTGTCACTGTATGTAAAGAGTTCGTAGAGAACGACTCCGAAACTCCAGACGTCTGACGCCACGCTGAACTTGCTCTCAGTCAGAGACTCCGGCGCGTACCTTCATCAACACACATCATCATCATCATCATTAACATAAAACACATCAGTAACGCTGCATCAAACTCAGAAATCAACATATGAGCATGAGTCAGGGCTCCGGACTCACATCTGAGAGCAGCGCACCAGAAGCAGATTTGGTAGCACTGGGGGGTATTAAAAATAAAAAGATAATTCTCAAGCCAACCTACTGATCTGCTACTTAAGCTTTTTATTATTATTATTCTTAGACTAAATTTCTAAACGCTACTCCTCCTAGAGCTTTCAAGCTAGAACCACCAAACTCAGCCCAGCTCTTCAGACTGATCTGACTCGGTTTGCTTTATCTTTTCAGACTGATCCGACTTATGGTTTTCATAAAAATGAAGATTAAAAATCATAAAAATCCCATAGACTTACAATTCAGACTGATCTGCCTCGGTTTGCTTTATCTTTTCAGACTGATCCGACTTATGGTTTTCATAAAAATGAAGATTAAAAATCATAAAAATCCCAGAGACTTACATTGACGGAATGTTCAGATGAGCCAAGACTATTCAAACTCCAACTGACAAAATTCAAATGTAAACCCACTGAAGCCCGTTAGACTCAATCAAGCTTCCCTTCTGTGTACTATTTCTAACTCATTTAAACTCATTCAAGCTTCCACTCTAATATTTCTATTCTATCTATCTATCCTAGCGACAAGTTAATCATGCTAGAAACATACTAGCAACATGCTATTAATAGGGGTGGGGGAAAAAATCGATACAGCATAGTATCGCGATATTTTCCGCGGCAAAACTGTATCGCTACACAGACGCCAAGTATCGATCTACAATCCACTAGATGGTGGTGTTGAGTTTTTTCTGTGAGGTCAGCGGGGTCACCTTCAGCATGCAGTGAGTTAGTAAACAAGGAGGGGATGTAAGTAGGGATGCACCGAAAATATAGGCTACATATAATAATAATAATAATAATAATAATATATATGTTGCGCCGCATCGCGTCCCGCAGTGTTCAGCGCGCATGCTTCACTGTCCTCGTCACTGCGAGGTTTGACGCTCCGCTCAATATTCCGATATATGAATGTGCGTCCGCTCGCCGCACTCTTCTTGTCGAGACAGACAAGAAGAGTGCGGCGAGACAGACAAGAAGAGAGGGGCGAGACA